CTTTCCCACCCACCCCTCAGGCCGACAACTTCACGTCAGCTGGGCAGCTGCGGGACGCCGTCGCGCGCCACGACGCCACCCCTGGCGCCGGCCCCCTCGACGTGAAACTGGTCTCCGGCGCGGACCACTTCTGGGGCGGGCTGTGGGATGACGTGGCGCGCGTCGTGCAGGAGTGGCTGGCCGCGAGGCTCGCAGGGGCTGACGCTGAGGTGGCGCTCGGGGCCGCTGCCGCTGCGGCAGAGGGGAGCGACGGGCGGCGGGCCGGGGGGGAGCAGGCATCCAGAGCGCCTGCTGCTGCAGGGTGACGCTTTACCTCTCATGCCTGGATACCGCTCCTGATCAAAGCTGCAACGGCCAAGTGCCATGCTGTTCATTTCTGTTGCTCCTGAGTTATGGAACTGCACAGCGTATGTTGCTCGACATAAGGGGCGCTAAGGGGCCGTTACAGCAGCAAACCGTTCCGACGGAAAACACCACCACAAATCGCGCTCCATCAACAGACAGGCAACGAGGAACGGGCTGTGCTTTGGCGCCGGGGCCGGGCGCATCCGCACGACCTGCTGCGCTGCTCGAGCTTTGCCGACTACTGAGGTTCTTATATCGAGAAACACCGTTCGTGCGACGCTGGCACATCCAGGCACAAACTCACACACGCGCGCACGCATGCGCGCGCACACACGCACACACACACACACACACACACACACGCACACGCACATGTGTGCGTGCGCACAGAGAAAGAGAGCGAGACACGCACACACAGGCACACACACGTCAACACACCACACACACGCACGCTCGCACACACTCACACGCCATCCACGTGAAAGATACGCACGTGCAGTGCATGAGAAATGCCGCGTGGAGCGGAGATCAATCTTCCACCCGTCGATCGACCCTCCACGCACGCGTGCGCGATGCATGTTGCATAGAATGGATCTGCAATGCACCAGCAGCGCCGTCACTGATGCGTTGCGCGCGGCTGGATCGGGGCAAAGGGCGCGGGCGGCACTCCGCGGGTGGTTTTGCCCGTGTGCGCCGCGCACAATACCGGAGGCATTTCTGATTTCCCTGCGCGCCCGCGGCGCACGCAGGCGCGGCGCCGGCGCCGCCCGCAGAGGCAGCAAAAATCGCACGAGCGAAAAGAGGCGGCCGGGGGCGGGCCCACCGCCGCCGCCAGCAGCAGCAGCAGCAAGGGGACGTTGGCGGCAGCTGAGGTGGGGCCAAGGGGCGTGGGCGCGGGGCCCTCCGCGCCGGGCCTCGACGCCCAAAGGGAGGGGGTCAGGGGCGGATTATTGCGGGTACCGCGGGATGGTGCGGAAGAAGCGACGAAGAGAGCGCGTGAGGGCTGGGAGCCCGCTCAACACCCCTTGTGTTTTTGCAGCCCGCACCGCGCCATGCGGGCGTGACGCAGAGGGCAGGGGCGCGCCGCGGCCGCCGGCCAGGCAGGCCGCTCGACGCGCCGCGGCCGCGCAGGGCTGGCGCCGCGCCAATGCCCGCGCGCTCGGCGGGATCGCAGGGCGGCGCAGAGGGCTGCGCAGGCCCTTGGGGCGCACGCGGCGCCGGACGGAGGTTGGGGCCGCGGGGTGGTTTTGCTGACCAATGAGAATGTGAGAGGTGGGAAAGCTGGCGCTAGGAAAGAAGAGGATCAGAGAGGGAAGGAGTGATGGGGGCCCGCGCCCTGCGGCAGTCTGTGTTCGCAGGATGCCCGGAAGGGTGGGCGCGCCAGCACCATGGGTCTGAGCGCAGGCAAAGGCACCGCATGCGTGCCCAGGCCGGCTGCCCAGGCACAGGCCCCGCCCCCCGCCACGCGCGCAGCCCTGACCTCTGCGGACCGGGCGCGCGGGCGGCGTCCGGCGCAGCGCGCGGGCGCCACGCATGCCCCGGCGGTTCCGTTGTGGCGAAAAGCGCGCCAGGGGCGGAAGAAAGAAGGCAAGAGGTAGTCAGGCGCATGCGCGCCCCATCACACAAAAAAGGGCCGCGCTTAAAGGGCGGCGCGGCGAGCGGCACAGCCCCCTCTCACGGCCGCGCGGGGTGCGAGCGCGGCAATCGGGGACAGGGAGTCCGCGTGCCTTGTCAGCACGGCTGGAACCGTGCTGGCGGGTGCGGCGGCGGCGCCGCATCTGCTCTCTGTCGCTGGGGCATCTCAGTGGCGCGCCTTGGCGCCTATCTATGCGCGCGGGTGGCGGCCAGGCGGCCAGGCCCCCCACCGCGCGGCCAGCGATCGAATGCCCCAACCGGTCCCTCTGCCTACCGGCCGGGGACTCAGTCAGCTCCCACTCATCTCCCAGGCGCCCAAGTCTGCAGTACCGCCCCCCTCACCCGCCACCCCCAC